TTCCCACTTTTTCTACTTTTTTCTCCCACTTTTATTTTTATTTTCAAGTTTTCCAATTTCCATTACCACTTCTATTACCAATTCCACTTTTTCCAATTTCCACTCCCACTTCCATTTTCATTTCCACTTTTCCTAATTTCCATTCCTACTTCCACTTTTTCTAATTTTCATTCCCACTTTTTTTCCAATAAAAAGTGAAAGTGGAATTGGGAATAGAAATTAGAAAAAGTGGAAATGGAAGTGGAAGTAAAAATAAAAATAAGAAAAAGTAGTAGTGGAAATGGAAGTTGGAATGAAAATTAGAAAAAGTCGAAGTGGAAATAAATATTAGGAAAATTGGAAATAGAAATGGAATTGAAAATTATAAAAAGTGGATGTGGAAATGAATATTTGAAAAATTGAAAGTGGAAGAGGAAAGTAGAAAAAGTGGAAATGTAAGTTGGAATGAAAATAAGAAAAAGTTGAAGTGGAACTAGGAATGGAAATTAAAAAAAGTGGAAATGGATGCGGGAATGAAAATAAATAAATGAAAATGAAATTACAAAAAAGGGAAGTAGAAGTGGGAATGAAAATAAAAAAGTGGAAGTGGAAATGTAAATAAAAATAAAAATTAGAAAAAGTGAAAATAAGAATGGGATCAAAAATAAGAAAAAGTGGAAGTGTGAATGGAAATTGGAACTAAAAATGAAAATAAGAAAAAGTGGAAGTGGGAATAAAAATAAAAAAAGGGGGAACGGAAGTGGTAAGGAAAATTAGAAAAAGTGGAAGTGGGAATAAAAATAAAGAAGTGGAAATGAAAATTAGAAAAAGTGGAAATGGAAGTGGGAATGAAAATAAAGAAGTGGAAATAAAAATTAGAAAAAGTGGAATTGGAAATGGGAATGAAAATTATAAAAAAATGAAATTGGGAATGGAATTATGTACATAATCGGACCCTTACTGTTTATTGCTGAGAAAAATTAACACACAAAAAATGAAAAAAATAACAGAACTGGAAGTTGGAAAAACACTTTATTTTGCATTTTTATTTATTTACTTATTTTTTGTGATTCAAAAAATTTATAATTTTTAATTTCACCGGCAATGAATTCTATGTAGTTCAAAAAATTAAAACCAATTCTTTGATCTGGACCATCAATTAAGAATGTATTGTTTCTTATTATTATAAAAACAAATGAAGTTGAGGATGCATGAAATGTTTTGGTTTTTTCTTCTATTTACGAACACAGTGTTTTAGAGTCAAGGGACTGTAACGCCGTGCAAGTACTAAGAATAATTGAATTTTATCGCGGGAATGAATAGCACTGTACTTCTGCAGTACACTGCTTTCTCGTTTTCACGTTTTATCCATTAGTGCCATATAAAAAACGTACTTTTAGCTTTTCGACACTCCTAATATAATTGTACTTTTTTTTACGCATAAGAACGAGGAAGCGCTTAAAAGTAAATAATGTTTGTCAGTTGAAAAAAAAATTACGCTTCAAGATATATATTTTTCTAAAAACAAAGTTCAAAAAAAAAAAAAAAAAAATTATGTTGATTATATTAAACACTTATTATTAAATAAATAATTGATGACACAATAATTCTCATATTTCATGAACAAATGTCTTAAAATGACAAATTTTGTCAATGATATTAAATATCGTGAATCAATATATATATATATATATATATATATATATATATATATATATGCAACATGAAACTCAATGGGCTATCAAATTATCAAAGTGAAAGAATTTATAAAGCAAAAGTTTATAAAGAATTGTAATTAAGAATTTTTTTTTAAAAGAAAAAATAATTTAACCTTTATCAAGTATTACTAAACAAAACAACAAATAATAATAATAATACTTAATTATCGTCTCAATGTACTTTCTTAATATAAAACTTGTAAGGAGTTCCCGTATAACTTTTCTTACAAGTTTGCATGACTGAAAAACGTGACATTTTTCAAGAAATAGAGCTTCAAAGTGCTTTGTATTGTAATTGTTTGTTGTGTCTTTTGTTTGAGAAAAATAGCATCGTTACTTTAAATGAGAATACATAAATAATTTTAACTCTTCTTTTACAAAAAACTTTCACGACTCATTGTTATGTAAAAATTAATAAGAAACGATAAACAATTTTCACACGCAATATTCATTGCTTATTAAAAAATTTATATTTTTTAGCATTACATATATATATACAGGATGATTTTTATGTTCGGACCCACTAAAGAATTTTGTATGCTTATTTTTTTCATTTTTTAAACAAAAATAATGAAATTAAACAAAAATTTTTAAGTGGTCTGAAACATAAAAATCAATTTTTAAATTTTGTCCGCCAAATTGGGTCTGCCATGTTGAATTTTCAAAATCTAATGCCAGATTCGTAATCAGCGACCTCAAAAACCCCCCGAGTAACGAGTTTCAAGAAAATCCGATCAATTCTTAAATTTTTTTCACCATATTGGATCCGTCATTTTGAATTTTCGAAATTTAATGCCAGATTCGTAATCAGCAACCTCAAAAACCCTCGGGTAACGAGTTTCATGCAAATCTGGTAAACTTATATGTTTCAAGCGAATACATATTTTTTTGGGTGCCATATTGGATCCTCTATTTTGATTTTTGAAAATCTGATGGCAGATGCGTAATGTGAAACTTATGATTAAAGGAATTTAATAGTTTTTTGAAAATTTTTTATTCAATGTTACGATTGTGAAAAAGAATTTACTATTTAAATAAGACTAAAAATAGAAGAATGGAATTTAATTTTAATATGAATTTAAAAAATATTGTGTATCTAATTAATTTGGAATAATTTTTTACCTATAGATATATTTACATTTTGATAAAAAATAATAAAAAATTTTAAACGAACTGATGAAATACAAGCAAACGTTACTGACGAATTTTGGAAAACTATTGACGATCATTCAAAACGTAAGACGGTTTTAATTAGTTAGTTGTTTTCACTTTACAATTAATTAACAACTTTGTTGAATTGTTTTCTGTATTCGTATTATACTTTAATGTCATAATTTTGTTAACAGGTCACTGTGCTAAGATACCTGTTGGTGAGCTTAAGATGAATTTTGAACCATTTCATTCTGTCTACGTGAAATATTTTTGACCCAATAAGTGAAAAAATTTACAATTTTTAGGACTTGTATTTTAGGTTAGGTTGAATGAATTTATTTTTCTTCATTACGATACGAAATACTAGAATAGGGGTCGATTATGTAATTCCATTTCCATTTCCACTTTTCCAATTTCCATTCCTACTTCCACTTATCCAAATTTCCATTTCTAATTATTCCAAATTTCACTACAACATTTTTCAATTCCTACTCTTACATTCATTTTCACTTTTTCCAATTTCTATTCCCTTTTCCATCACAAGTTTTTCTAATTTTCTTTCCTACTTCCATCTTCACATCCACTTTTTCTAATTTTTAATCCCACTTCCATTTGAATTTTTTATAATTTTCATTCCCACTATTTCTACTTCTTTCTCCTACTTACATTTTTACTTTTAATTTTTTCAATTTCCATTCCCACTTCCATTACCAATTACATTTTTTCCAATTTCCATTCCCATTTTTATTACCAATTCCACTTTTTTCAACTTTCACCTTCAATTCCATTTTCATTTCCACTTCATCTAATTTTCAATCCCACTTCTTTTTCCAATTTCCATTCCTACTTACACTTTTTCTAATTTTCATTCCTAATTCCATTTACACTTTTTCCAATTTCCGTTCCTAATTTCACTTTTTTTAATTTTCATTCCCACTTACACTTTCTAATTTTTATTCCCACTGCTACTTCCAGTCCCACTTTTTTTTATTTTCACTCCCACTTTAATTTTCTAATTTTTATTCACATTTCCATTTCCACTTCCACTTTTTCTATTCTGAATTAACGTAATTTTTTTTTTAATTGCAGATCCGATGGTGTGTGAAAATTATGAAAGTGATGCTATTTGTCCAGGAGAAATAATAAATGCTTCGGAAAATGATGGATTATTTTATTTTAGAATACAATTCCAATGTCCTGGAAAACCTGAGAAATTTTTGTATAGCTCTGAATTGAACACGACAGAAATAATTGGTATGAATCTCAATGATCAGTAAGTACCAATTTTAGGTATCAAAATAGAACCAAATGACAATTTAGTATACCTAAAGTTAGTATTAAATTAATTCCTTTTGTTTTAAACAAATTTGAATTTATTGTTATTTATTTTTTAAATGGTGGATGGTTGTACCGTTAGAGGAGATCTGAAAGTGTATAATGTCACTGAAACATCAATCATGTTACAATGGGAAAAGCCTAAAAATTGTAACTACGAATATCCGTATTATCTGTAATATCGCACCGTCCGACAAAATTCAATTTTTTTTTTGACCCACAAAAAAATACAACACTTTTAGAAACTAGGACCAAAAAAAATTACCCGTGTCTGGCCGTTTTGTTAGATCAAGTCGTTTGTGATTTCTTGGAGTGGAAACAACTTATTAATTAATTAATAATTAATTTTTTATAAAACTTGGTATCTGGGGGTTTTTGGCGTCGCTGATTATTAATCTGATGTCAGATTTTCAAAATTCAAAATGGCGGATACAATATGGCGGTCAAAATTTTAAGAAGTTATTAATTTTTTATTTTATATCCGCCATTTTGAATTTTGAAAACATAACATCTGATTTCACATCAGTGTCTTCAAAAACCCCATAGATACCAAATTTTATAAAAAATTAATAACTTCTTAAAATTTTGACCGCCATATTGTATCCGCCATTTTGAATTTTGAAAATCTGACATCAGATTAATAATCAGCGACCCCGAAAACCCCAAGATACCAAGTTCTATAAAAAATTAATAATTTTTAAAAGATATCTTGTTATTTTTCATTTAGGAGTTGTTTTCACCCCAAAAAACCACAAACGACTTGATCTAGCAAAACGGCCAGACACGGGTAATTTTTTTTGGTCCTAGTTTCCAAAAATGTTGGATTTTTTTGTGGGTCAAAAATCGTGTCGGACGGTGTCGTCTGATGCTTCAAGTGCAACAGTAGATGATCTTAAACCAGGAAGAAAATATCTGTTTAAATTAGATGTTGATATTAAGACACATGATATTGATGGAATCTCTAGCTCATATATCAGAATTAAGCATCCTTTAGGTGCGTATCAATGTTTAAAATTAAAAAATGTTTTCATTTTAACGTACATTAATTAACCAGTTCTGAAATTTTGATGTTGTGCTATTACAGATTCAAAAATTGATTCCTATCTCAAAAAAATATTAAATTCTACTAATTTTGATGAATTCATTAAAATTCTTGATTTTATTGATACAACAGCCAATATTCAATGGAGTAAACCTGAGAATATTTCTACTGATGCAAAAATGGATGTTTTTGTAATCAAATCAAGTAATATTGGGGAACCTGAGTTGATTGACGGTGTAGAATCTAATAAATTAAATAATTATGTACATCGAATCAAAAGGTTAAAACCCAGAAGAAATTATAGATTAAGATTAAGATTAAGATTTAATTATTTATATAATTTCTTATTATTTCTAATAAAATGTTTTCATTTGCAGAGAAGCCTAATGAAATCCCAGAATCACTTGATTATTCATATAACAATACTACTAATACAATTTTGTTCAAATGGGATAAACCTTTGAATAGTCCCACCACAGTACATTATGTATTTGTAGTTTTAGAAGATAGAATTTGGAGATTACTTTATGATTCTTCAGAACATCCAACATACAATATGAGTGTTTCGTCTCTTCATCAGAAATTTTGAAGTTCTCCTTTCTGCTTGTAATATTTTAGGCTGTTCATTGGCAATCACCAAAACTGTAAGTATAGGGTAGACCTTATACTTTTGTGTAATTTTGACCTTTTGGTTGAAATACCACAAAAAATGCGAGTACACAGTAATAACAACGTAACCAAATGCAAGTTGGGAAAAAATAAAAATAAACGTCCATTACTCTTTATTTGTGAAAAAAAGAGACATGTAAATGTTTATAAATGATTTTTAAATCCATTTGATAATATATGACATCAGTTGAAAGCTTAAGGGTAAGAAAATGCAGCAGGAGGTATACAATCCAAAGGGAACATTCTATTGGACTTGGAAGTTAAAACAGCAGTGCGTCTTCTGGCGCCGGGAAGACGTTGACACGCCTCCGGGGCTACCTATAAAGACAAGAACTTACTCCAACAATACGATTTTCCATATTTTACAACTAAATGTGCAATTTTGTATAATTTACATTTCTTTCTGTTTTAATAAATTTATAAAATTAAAAATTTAATTTGATTCCTAATTATAATTGTACTTATTTTTGAAACAATAAATAAATTTTTAATGATAATATTAATATATATATATATATATATAAAGTAATTTCTCATATTCATTTTTATGTCTTTTACCCTATTTTTCTTTTTATTAGATATAGCATTGCAATTCAACTAAAGGATCTTTCGATTCAAATGTAATTACATCTTGGTCAAGTTCGTCACACCCACTTTTTCACCTCTTCACAATCTTTTATTTCTTTCACCTACATAGCTTTTTCTTTTTATCTCATTTCTATTTACTTTATTCTTTAATTTACAATATGGTTTTTCTATTTAATTTATTTATATCAATTTTGTAATAAAATAATTATATGAAATTTCAAATCTCTTTTTTTGAATTTGTAGATCTCTTTGTTAAACTTTACTTTAAATGTAAAACACTATTTTAAAATTTATTTGAATTATTCACGATTTTGTAGAGTATTCCATACTAGTGCATATTATTATACATGATAATTTTCAGCAACTTCTAAAGTTTCCCTTTTCTTCTTGTATCTGATGCAGAAACATAATAGCAAATTACTACACACATACACACACAGCTGATGATATTTGAGGACAAAAATTACTCCTTGAATTTATTATAAGATTTTTTTCACATACCCTAAGAGAACTATCAAAGGCACTATATAAAAATATAAAATATAAATTATTCAAGTAATAATATAGAAAATTATAACAACTATAATGTATTTTTTTTTAACTGCTGACCATTTATTTTTTCAGCAACATTAACTCTAAAAACTGTTTGAAATAATAAACATTTTAATAAGAATTTTATTCAGCTTGTGCAATTAATTTAATTTTACTACAAAGTCTTGTGATGACAAACGAATTAAAAAGAAAGTGCTTTCATTATAACGCACTTTTGCTTCAAGCAAAAATGAATATGAATAATGAAGATATTTTAATTAAATTTTCCTTTAGTTCATCATAACATTGCTTTAGAATATTATTTTTCAATATTCTTTGGTTTGGAAAAAATTTTTGAAGTCATTCATATATTTGAATTTATTTGCATAATTTCGTTATTAGACATTATAGTACATATAGTCAGAAATTGACATTTAAAAAATTCAAAATAGAAAATAATTTGACAAATCATTTCTAAATGATTTTAAGCTTGAACTAAATATTTATTCAACATTCTACCCTACGTTTCAATTAACAGGAAGTAGCTAAAAGCATAATTAAAGTTCAGGTTAATTACTAATTTCAATGTATACAAGAGTCAGTCTGAGGTCCAGGAGTGGGATTACGAATAGCGCTAGTCGCTATATGTATCGCTTTTCGTTATTTAGAATTAAAAACTTAAATATTTTTAATGAAATTTGTTCCAAATCATTTCTTAAATAAAATAGTTTTGACAGTTTCTTCGAAATTTAAACTGCAAGATAGTAATTTAAAAGTAAATATAAACATAACCCATATCTAGATAAGGCCTTTGACGTAGAATTCATGTCAATTCCTAAAATACTTTATCTTCGTAGCAAACAAATACAACATGAAGGTTGGATCAATTCTCTAACTTCATGTTTGCAAACTGTTATTGTCAAATAAAATAATTTACTAGTGACGAAATAAATTACACTTTAATATAATAAATAACAACTTTGAAAATAAATTATATTTTTCAATATTAAAATAATTTATTAAAGAAATTAATTTTTTAAATTTATAATTCAATTTAATAAATAAAAATGAAGAAAATTAATCTTATTGCAAGAATTAAAAATAACATATGAATTGCATGAGATTTAAAATTAGGATATTATTTACCAGTGTAACTTTAAAAATTGATATTTTGATTTCTTGAAAAACTCTTCAACTCACAAAAAATGTCCTATAGATTTTTTTAGGGAACTCTTGCGTAAGAACAAAAATTCTATTGTCGAGTAAATTTTTAACTTTCTGTTGACACATATTCTGATATACACCATTCAAAGAATGGTTCGCTTTGCACAAGAAGCAACTGGGGCTGCTCTTGCAATCTGCATACTTACGATCGGATATCCTGCACTTAAAGCACGCAGCCGATCTGTCTGCTTCCTTGCAGATTCTTGCTAGATGGCCGTTACCCTGGCATCGGTGACACCGGACGACCATGACTCTGTTTCTTATTTGGCAGCACATAAAGCCAATCTTAATGCGCCCCACTTCCTCCAGTCTGTCAGCCTCTCCTTGAAAACAACTGCGAGCTTCATCCCTCGCTTGTTGGGTCCTAAGACCGTCACCTTCCTGCTTCCTGGCTTTCCGAGTTCTCGTTCCAGCGTTTCCTGGACTTCTGTTTCATGGGTAAGGAAATCCAGGTCGCGGATCTCGAGTGTAATTTTCTAATCCACCGTCTGCACCTTACCCATGCTGCCAACAGCCTTGATCACCTCGGTGGTAGAAGCTACCGTGTCCGAGTTACCTCCGACTCTAATCAAAAGGTCTCCCTTTGTTAGTGGGCCTTGCCACCAATACTCTCGTGTGGCTGATGTCAGGATTAACTTCCTTGCGGAGCTATCCTAACACATCAGCATACGTCTTACCTAAAGCGACTCGGACGACCACTGTTGATACTCTCGAATCCTTCGTCTTGTTGGACTGCTTCGGCTTCGGTGCCTCCGTCACCTTAACATCCTTCCTTAATGGAGGTGCTTCCTCCTTTTTCTTTTTTACTTCGGTTTTTATCTCTTCCGGACTGCCGGTACTTTGTTTCTTCTTTTGCGCCACCATGACCGCGCATCGGAGACGTTTCTCATGGATACGCTCTCTCTTGTTGGTCCAGTCCTCCCGGTTGTAGCCTAAAGCGGAGTTCAATTTCACATCCCCTTTATCAGTTTCTGCGTGCTTCGTCAAATTTACAAGGTCTTGAAGAACCTTTAATCCATCCTTCATCGTTCGATTAACGATCTTTTGAATGTAGCAAGATTTCACCATCCTCTTCGATCTTCAGAAGGAACTCAAATTCTTCCTTCGTCAAACTGACGCATATTTCGCGTTCCTCGTTTATGGCCTCGTTGTCTCTAGGTCAGACGGAATAAAACTTCTTCCGCTGCTGACACTCGAAACGCTTAAAGCACTTTCTCTTCTACTTCCAAGTCTTTCCAAACGGACCTGTGGAACCTTAAGAAACTAGATGCCTCCATGGTTCATCCTCCTTGTGGCATTAAATGCTACAGCACCCAAGGTGTCTAATACTGCAGTACTGTTGTCATTGGATTTCGACGCTTTCGACTTTCTCGAAGAAGTTACCGTGATTTGACTTAGATCTAGATAACTACATGGAGAGATACTAGTGATCGACTTTTGATTTATTTTCAGTTTTATCACTTTGGAAAAGTAATCGATAAATTATCTGGACCCTTGTTTACGTTGAAATTAGTAATTAACCTGCGAATGATTAACCTGAATTAAAACTTCATCAACTCGTTCGTTTAATATTTTTCTGAAGTTCGCAATACTTCAGCATCTTCTGTACCTGTATCTCATCTATCACTCCGTGATGACTTTCACATCTATCTCCGAAAGTACAATGCTAATTAAGGTATACAACTGACACTCAGAGAAGATCAACTTCCTGCCAATTTTTCATTCTTTTGCATATCATCATCAATACATTGAAAAGGGTCTAATCTGTCAAACTGTTCTTGACATTGCATTGGTAATGGTGAATTTGAAATGTCACATCTATATTCGTCCACCAGTTAAAACTTAGTTTAGAAGTTCGCAATAGAATTGCGACTAAAATTGATCGAACGTTTGAATTAAATTAAATACTTCCAGCCAAGCAAGTTGGACTCAAAATCGATTTAAAGCAGAATCTTAATAAATTTAATTGAAAGAATGATTAAATAAATTATTCAAAAAAAAACTCTCAGTAAACAAACTAAAGTATAGGCAAACCTATCAAAACCGTTTTCCTTAAAAGGGCGTTAGGTACTTATAGAAAAGCATCACTTGCGAAGATTTATCGTAACTTTGAAAATGTTGGAATCCATTGAAGGAAAAATTCAATTTCACTATACTAGAGCTTTGAAACGTGAACGTTTGTGAGAGACATTCAAATCAATTTTAAAATTAAACCGCCCGTCATTCGTGCATTTCCACAAAAAAAAAGAAATCTCTGCAAAAATAAAGAAAATGTATTCCACTGTCATTGGAACGAAATAATAAGTTATTAACATAAACTGGTTGGAATTAAAAGATAGCGCGAATAGGGCGTTCCACAGGTGCTTCCTGATAATTAATGTCGTTCTATTGATAATCGTGATAAGTGGAAGGAATTACTAGCTTCGAGAGGAATATGCGAAGTAGAAGAATAGAAAGTTGGAGAGAAATGGAGCCAAAAACAGAGAGAAGCACGAAGAGAAAAGTATTGGTACCTTCAAAAGTTAGGGTTTTTTTCTTTTTTGAGGGGGATGATGAAGAATGAAGTAGAGGAGAAGGACAACGACGAATTGAATGTGAGGGAGTTTGAAAAGCGTCTGCGCAGGGAATATCGCGCCAAGGGGTAAATGGGGTGCTTCTCACAGAGTGCAATCCTCAGTCGGGATGCCGCGACGTGTCGAGTTCTCTCGTACTTTAGTTCCGCTATGATCAGTGAACGTGTTTATAACCTCAACCTCCAACGGGAGAAGAGGATCTCGTTTGGGATTTTCTTCATTCTCTTCTATTGCTCTTTTGTGCTTTCTCAAACGCCTCCAGCTTCTTCCGGTGAGTGAAATATCCTTGTGTTATCCGTTCAGTTGTGTGTGTGTGTCATGTGAATTCAAATCATTTGTTTCGCGTATGATTAATAAAGTTTTTTCCTTTTTTTAAATCCGCTCTCTTCTTTTTTTTTTTTTTTTTTTTGATGAAACAGTTTTCCAACAGTTTTTTTTGTAAATTCAATTGATAAATATCTTCTATTTATTTACAGTGATATTAAAGTAAAATAAAGTTTTTCTACATCGACAAGAAGAAAATTTGTACCATCTCAAGATTCAAAATCTTAATCGTCATGGCGCGGATTAGGTTTTTGTAATTTGAATATTTGAAAATAATTTTTTAGTAAAATAAAAAAAAGGGTTTACATTTGAACATTGAAATAATTAAACGTGGAGAAATAAAGTGATTTATACTTATTTTGAATAAATTTTTCTGAAAATTAATTATAACGAACACATTTTGGATAATTTGTTGATTACAAATTTTTTCCATTACTAATGATTTCCGTTGCTTGCGAATAAATCCGATAGAAGGTAACGATTGTTTGATTATCGAATCAGTATAATCTCTGTTTTACAGTCGCGGCTTTTTGTATTAAAATTAATTAATGTTTCTTGGCACACGGTTTTTCAAGTACCCAGTTTTACTATATTTACAAATTTAGTAGGATGAAAATATTAAATCTTCATTTATTCAATTTTGATGTTCAAAAAAAATTGTAATTTCAAATATTTTTTTTTTAATTTCAATCATTTTATAAATCCTCAAGTTCAAATTTAGAAATATTATAGCCAAAAATTAATTTGTGAAAATAAAAATTTTATTGATAAATAATGAAAATGTTTCCCTATTGATACAAATTGTCACTTTTGTAATGTTTCTTCATCTTCATATATATATATATATTAAAGTGGAAGAAAATTTGCACTTTAATTATTTTCTCGGGTTGCGTGAATTACATCTGGCTCACTTCATATGCATGCATATCAAATAATTACCATTTAATTTCCATTAAATATTCCCAAGGGAGAATTTACTTAATTGTAATGCTAGAGAATAATGAGGAGTTTTACAATTGCATTATGCACACAAAAATAAGAGCAAAAAGAAAAAAAAACATCATCGTTAACTTGAATCACGTTGCACAGCTTTAAAAAAATATTTCCAGCGGTTTAAATTGTAATCTTAAAAATACAAAAGTAAATAATTGGAATAAGTTTCAAAAAAATTATCTATTAGGGATAAATTATTTATTATTATCCATTACAGATAATAATTAATGTAATTAAATAGAGTAATTATTAAAATACTTAAATTTGATAATTTATATTTATTTATTAATAAATTACACATTTCAAAAAGATATATATTTCAAGTTCAGTTTCAGTTATACTTTAGTCAATTTATATTTTCCTTTACTTCAAGAAATGATTGATGATCATTTTCCAACTTGAGATGAACTAAGTTGCTAGAATTCTTACTTTGAGTTTATTTAACAAAAAACATTTGTTTTCTAAATATTTATTTATTTTACGTTGACACAATAAGTTTCTAATTTAATTTTTTATTTTTAATATTAATTTGCTAAATTCGATTATAAATTTATTAATTTTGTTTATGGAAAAACTTTTTAGTTTTACCACGAAGACATTTCTTTATAGAGAGAGAGAGAGAGAGAGCTTTAAGATCCAGAAACTGAATTAAGATTTAAATCAAACCTGTCACTTTTTTTTTTAATATAGAACTTCAGTTTTCTTTCTTCGAACTGTGGTGAAAAACGTGCCACTTAGAAAAATAAATTGGGTCAAGTTGCTTTTGATAGTTTTGCGCTGAAAAATGTTTGCCTTTCTAAAAGATGTAAACAAGAAAAAATATGTAAAAAAAAGCTCCTTGTACTTGCTGTGCACAACGTTTTCTCGGGACGCTACATTAAGGACACTTTTTTTAATGAGAAAAAAATTCGTGAAAGATTTTTTTTGGAAATAAATAAATATTTTTTTTTTTTTGGGAAATTCGACTTTGGATATTGTTAAAATGAAACTATTTCTTCTTTCACGAAGCATATGTGTTACATACCACGAGAAGTTGGAGATCTGCTTATAGTAGTTGCTATCCACACGGGTCGCTTGAGACTCATAAACTAGAACTTACGTTTACTATTTTGGAAAATAAAATTATGATATTTGTCTGCATGAGTTATTTTCTACGTTTTCCGTATAATTATGTCTGTGTATAATGTTTATTTTAAATATTAATTATTTAAACTTTCTTTTTTGGAAATTAAAAAATAATTGAATTGTATTTCAAAATGAAAATCTGCATATTTGGGAAATTTAATAGATTCTTATCATTTTATTTAAACTAGGTGAAAATTATTTTTTCATAAAATTAAAAAAAAAAAATTCGATTTCACTGCTTCTACCATATACGATATTTTTAAAATTCACCATATCATTAAATCCTCATATATATATATATATATATATATATATATATATATATATATATATATCTTTAGAATAATTAAAATTTGATTAAAAAATAATTAAATTAAAGTTTAATAAAATTGTGATTGTTATACATAAAATTATACACTTAAATTTTGAAACAATTAAATTTTCGCTTAATGAAATAAAGGGAAGTCGTTCGTTGAATAATTCAGTGATGAAATTTAATAATTGACAGTGAAATTTGAATTATTGTCAGTAAAATCTCAGTGAAAATTGTCAGTGAAATGACTTTATAAACAGAAGGTATGGCCATTTTACTTATAAATATTATAAATTAAATTCTAATATTTTTTTCTTCACTATATGTAGTACGCATAAATTAATGTATTAAAATTTGCAAAATTTAAAATAAAAAAAAATTTATTTCTAGTATTTTAATTAATAACAAGAACTAAAATAGTGATTAAATTGCTTTTGTATTTCCAAAAGACAAATTCTCTTTATCTATCTATATATATATTGCCTTGGAAAATTTTGATTATACGATATACGTGCTTGGGCAATTTGTTTATTATTAAAGAAGTTTGTGGAACAATCTTAGAATTGTATTTGAAGAATCTTTCCATTAAGAAACTTTGAATTACGAACAGTTTCTGACTGATGCTAATAAACAGTAGTTCTCCATTTGGAATTTGAACTAAAGAGAGAGAGAGGGAGTCACTTGGAAATTCCTCTCGCGTTCACGCGTTTCGGCACGCCACAAATGAAATTAACTTCCGAAGTTGAATGGGATTAGTAACGCACTTGCTGACAACTAGTGCCGGAAGATAAGTTTGAATGAGAAGAAAATATCTGCAAAACTTTTATATATTTTCTAATATCTAGGTATGTTTTTAATTCTATCTTTGAGATGAAGGCAAATGACATTTCGTACATATATTCGATTTCATTCATTTTAAATCTAATACAAATTTCCTTTTAATTATTATTTGTTTTAATGTTTAAATTTTTTTCTACCCTATAAACTTATAATATTTTATATCCTTCAATTTAACTTAGTTTAATAAAACTAAGTGGGAAAGAGGTTATATTGCATCAATTTGTTCGTTCAGTTTTATTAACCTTTGATAATTATCAGAGTTTGTAGGTTAAGTAAACAAGATTTATAGGTTAGGAACTGTAAATTAACAGGCATCAGTGGCAACGTTCACGTGTAACATACAACATATTAATGGCGCTACTGTCTAAAAACCAAGGATTATGGCGCGAAATTCAAAAATATTTATTTCACAATTTCCAATTTTTCCTACTTTCTTTATAACAGTTATGTTTTTAAAAATCATTATTAATATAAAAAAAAAATTAAATTTACCTATATAATTGTGTGAAATTAAACTTATGGTAAATTAAAAATTTTTAAAGTTAAATAGTAATAAATATTTATTTAAAAAAAATTATAAATAAAATATATGTAAAAAAATAAATGATTAATAAAAAATAATTAAAAAATAAATAAAATATGTAAAAAAATAAAATAGCAACTGTGGTTAAATGAATTTTTTTCCCTCTTTTTTTTTGACCAAGACTTGCACAATTAGAAAATGAGAGACCAACATTTGATTCTAGTAAAAGTTTTTAGGTGTATTTAATAGAACTAAAACACTGTGTCGTATAACTTAAATATAATTAGCGTAACCGTGCAGTAACTTTTTCAACTAACTTTCTTCATCTATTCTATATATACTCTCTTGTTTTACATTTCTGAGAATATTTATTTTTGCTACAAAGACGTTTATATATTGTAGTGAAATTATACAGACAATATTTAATTAGAATGTTAGTAATTAAATTGTTACTGCAATATATATATAGTTTTATTTTACAGCAATTATATAAATTACTTTTTAATACTTTATCCTTTGATATATTCATATCTTAAAAAAAAAATTTTATATATACGATGCGTGTAGAAATTCGAAAATATATGACATCCCTTTCAGAGGCGCAATTTTATAGAGGGAATGTCGTCGTCCGGTCGAAAACGCAAAGCGTTGTACGTTACACACAGTCGTGTGATCAAAGCAAATGTACCTGTTTTGCAGGAGCTTTATCTTATACAGAGGCGAGCACATCATCTCAGTGGAAATAATTTGACGCCGAGTTTTGAATATAACTCTCTTCTTCTGAATAATTTACTCCTTCTATTAATGTGTGTGTGTGCTTTTTTTTAGTACAATATATTAAAAAAGACTTTTGTTTTAGTAAAATAAATAATTTCATTTTATCATCAAATTGCTGATGTGTAAAATTTAAAACTTATGAAAATACTTTTTATGTTTTGTTTCATAAAATTAATTTTAGATGATAAATTTTTTGGTTTTACTTCCACAGTTTCGATTATTGCAGATTCATTTAAAATTCCACATTCCGTATTCCACATTCCGTATTCCCAATTTTACATTCCGGATCTCACTTTCAAAATTCCGTATTCCTGATTCCACATTTCACATTCCGTATTCTGGATCCCACATTCCGGATTACAGATTCCGGAATCCA